CGAATTTAAAAAGCATTTTCTAAAATTACAAGTAAGTTATTTAAATTGAGCTGGAATCGGTTGAAATATTTTCTTAATTTTATTTTTTTGATCTCTATTGGAATTTCTTTCTTAAATCGAAATTCCATGTTCATAACGCATAATTTAAAGTATAAAATACATAATTCTGATGTCAGATGCTCATGAACCGAATTTTTAAGTTGCAATGATGAATCTTTTATAATAAGTTATATTTTTTATTAAAAAAACCGTATTTCTAAGTTTGGAGGGCATCATTTTTTTAAGGTGTAAAAATTCATTCATGAGATCATTTTTTTAATTTTAATTATATTAGAACAATTTTTGTATTTCTAAAATTTTGGATTCACCAGCCAAATACAGATTTTTTTAAATAATTTTTTTATAAGTGAGTATTTTTCAATTTTTTAACAAAATCTGGAATTTTGAAAAAGTTTAATTTTGGGTTACAACCCGAGCTATAGTGTATTAAAATTTTAAGTTTTAGCGATAATTTTTTTAATTTTTAAAACTATTGCAAAATTTATGTGGTTTTATATTTTTTCCGGGTTTAAAAGCTATAATTTTAGATGCAAATTATTAAATAAATTTTGGATTCAGAAGGTTAATCTTAAGGTTTTTTGCTTAACTTTTCTTTGTTTTTGCTGTTATTATGTGTTGTTTTTTTCACCGATTTAAATTTTCCTATCCCTTAAGCCATTCTTGATTATTTCTTCTTTATTTTCTTTCGATTTATGTTCGATATTTCAACCTGAAAGTCCGCATTTTGCGAAGGTGAGCGAATCCGTGTAGGCATAAAATTCCAAGGATAATGCAAATATGGCAACATCCCACCCGTGGCTCGTTCGAAACCAAGTTCATTGTCCACGCCATAATAACGTGGGCTAATTCTCGTCATCATCTAACAGTAATCTTCTCCCTAATTAAATTTATTAATGCAAAATAAGTGGCAACCCTGCTTTCTCCACCTCAAGTTTAATTTCCAGAGGTCCCAACGTCTCCGTGCTGCACCTTCGTAGCACATCGGAGCCTTGGGAAGCAAACCCGCTTTACACCACACCAAAATCAACCAAAACCGTACCGACTTTAACCAAACATCAATCTCTCGGGGGGTATAAATGGAGCAATTCATCGAATTTTCATTCTGTTAGTGAGGTTAATAATTTCAATAGTGTGAATCGGGAGTTGTCACCGGTGCGGTGGTGTGACCGGGAGGTCGATGGGGTGTATTTGGGACGATCTGGGTGGGTGCAAGTCCAGCAACGGTCACTAGATGAGAATAGAAGGGTCTACCAACCACCACGAAGAACCGGAATTAAATTATCGGATTATCACTTTAATAGTGAGCCTGGTGAAGTCACACGTCCGGCTCATCTATCACTCAACGACCGGAAGAAAACTCCATCACCGCAACCGGAAAATTTTTCACCACCTCCTATCACTCCTATTATCTCCCCACCGCCGGCTTTTCAAGACAAAAACAAAAAAGGGGTCACTCAAACGAAGACTTTCTTCGGGAAAACTCCTTTTCTTCCAAGGTTAAACGCAGTAGATAGTGACGAGATAAGTCCACCACCGACACCAAAAGCTGTCAAAATCAAGTCAATGTCAATGCCGTCTCAAATCCGGAAAGTCAATCTCGGATCCGGAAGAATCCCACAAACGAAAAGTATGGAAGATACAACTGCAGCTCGAAGATTACTCTTCGTACAAAGACACGAATCTTCATCGTCATCGTCATCGTCAATGGGTTTTCGGAGTCTTGACAGTTGTGTCAATCGACCAACAATGCCTCGATTGTCCGAAAACACCGATTCTTCAATCGACGTTTATGAGGATGCAGATGAAGAAGACAATAACAGTTCTTCCATTAATATCAGTATGGTCAATATAAACATACCAAAGGAGAAAATTTCCCCTTCAACTCGACCAAATCGTCTCCAGTACTATCGAAGTCAACTCCGGAAAACACCAACAGTGACCGAAAGTACCAAACCACCAAATTGTGTCTCCCCTGGATCGTCATCAAGTAGCAGTAATGAGTTTCTCTCAAGGTCACCACTCGGTTCGTCACAACAATTAAGAAGAGTTACACCTACTCGCCAGTACCAACCTAAACTGCCCCAACAAGAGGAACAAAGAGTTCGAAGGTCACGAAGTCTTCAATTACCCGACAAGAAAGTAACACAGAATTACCCTCTAAGGGTTTCCCCCCAACACCCCGAGATTATCCCCCATCGTCCTAACATCAAAATGGGTACTCAAGTCAAACGTCACAATAAAGTTGAAAGTACCCTCACTGAAGAAGACTTGAGACGCGAAGCCGAAATCGTGAGTAACTTCCTCTATGGTACCAGAACCCGGGCTGCGGCTCAAGCCCTCCTCATGCAACGCTACAACAGCATGACAAAAGAAGATAAGGAAGTCCAAAAACCGGGTACTAACAGTGTTGGGGTTTACTTCGTGGGGAAGAAAGAACGTCCTAAGGTACTCCATCGTGGTTCTACCACTCCTAATTTGCCTCTCCCTCCCAAACACATTTTCGGGCCACAGGAACCACCCAAGAACCCATGCACGTCCGATACGTGCGACTTTTGGCCTCATTGCGCCCATCGCGAGTCCATAATGCGTTCATCTCAAAGTTATCCCACGCATCAGAATAAACGGCCGGGGAAAGTACCCGAAAAGGGGAGTTTCGGTACTGTGAGTAGTTCGTCGAGTAGTAGTGACGTGTGGTTGACAACGTCGGATCGTACCGTCGCGAAAAAAAGCTCCGGTGCGTCCACTCCGGAGGATTTATCGAGTGATAAAAGACCGGGGAGTGCGCCCACGGAGGAACGAAGTAATGGGTTTTTGGAGTCGCAGCAGAGGTCGATGTCGTTGCCCAAGTCGTTTTTGAGCGTCAGTCAACAGCAAGGGTAGGTTTGTTGTTGTTTTTTTTTTAGGAATGCGGGGGATGAGTGTAGGATGTCAAGGTTGGGGCGGATATTGAGCGGTTTTCGGGAAGAAAAGGGCAGTGTTTTTACAAAGACGCCCACTTTTTCTAACTTGATTAAAAGGGTGAGAAGTGGCAGATAGATTAATTGGTACTTAGGAAGGGTCAGGTTCTATCGAAAATGAAACGAAAATGTGTATTTATTGTTTTTACTATGAAATGTTTTTATTTATGTTTATGAAATAATTTAATTTTGAAACAAGAGAAGCCCTAACGAGTCTAGGTCATGCTGGATATTGATCGACAAACTTTTCTGCTCTATGTATTTAATTTAGTCTTTCACTTTGCAGTGAACAGGCAAATACATTAAATGACACTTGACAATTTGGAACTGATATTGAAAAAACTCGGACTATAATTTAAAAATTTTGGAATTTTCTGCAAATTCTGGGCCATAATAAAAGTTTTAATGAAAAATTTTGCAATTAAAAGTGTTGAAAATTAAGAATTTGAGTGTTGTCATTGAAGTTTCAAAAATTAATAACATATTTTTGTATCTGGAAAGCGAATATATCTACGAAAAAAATGTGTAAAAAAAGAAAATTCTAGTACTAACGCTTTGAATTTTGAGACAAGCAAGGAATTTCTACCTTTTCTAGTTAAAATTTAAAATCATGAGTTATGGATTCGAAATTCTAAATCTCATTATCGATTTTTTAAGAAATAAGACAAAATTTTTGGATTTTAGTTTTGCACTTACTATGGATTAGGAATTAGGAAGTTCTGGAGCTTAAATCTGCATTTACAGGGACCAAAGTTTTCAAGTTTTTGGGTAAATTTGCAGTTAAAAATTAGAATTGTTCTAGACTTAAAATGTTTAATTTGAAATTTAAATTTTAACTTCCTTAAATTCTGAATTAAAAAAAATATTTGAAGTTTATAGACGAAATTTGCTGGAATTTTTTATACTTCAAACTTTTAATATCAAATATTAAATTAGTATTAAATATTAGTATTATTATTAAATATTTATTAGAAATAAGAATTTCAAGTTTAATCTTCAAAATTTTAAGTTTTGTATTTTTAATCTTTTAAAAGTTTTGGACAAAACTTGCAAAAGATAAATTAGAATTTTGTTGTAGACTTAAATTTTTTAATTCAAAACAGGAATTTTGACTTTTCAAGTCAGAATTCTCATTTTTGCAATTAAAATTTGTACCTGGAATTCTGAAAGGTTAAATTCTGAGTCTAAAAAAAAAAGATTTGAAATTTTTAACAAAATTTGCTGGAATTGTTTTGTACAATTTTTGCACTTCTTGTATTTTGAATTTGAAAATAAGAATTTTGAGTTCAAAATAGAAAATTCTGAGTTTTGAAGTTGAAATCCTGGATTTGAAATAGAATTTTGGAGCAACAATTTCAGTAAAAATGAAGTTTTAGAATTAAGAATTTCAATTTTAATCTTCAAAATTTTAAGTTGTGTTTTCTTAATCTTTTCAAAATTTTGAACAAAATTTGCAATTAATAAATTGGAATTTTGTTGTAGTCAATTTTTTATTTGAAATACGAATTTCGACTTTGGACGTCATTTTTGCATTTGAAGTTTGGAATTGGAATTCTTAAAGGGTCAATTCTGAGTCTAGCAAAAAAGATAAAAAGTTTTTGAGCAATTGAGTTCAACATACAAAAATTTTAAGTTTTGCATTGTTAGTCTTTAAGATTTTAAATTTTAAGCCTAAACGTTTTTAGACAAAATTTACAATTAGTAACTCAGAAATATTTTGTAGATTTGGAATTTCCAAGTCTTAAATTTTCGAAATTCTAGCAAAAATTTTAAATCTGAATGCTACATTCTAAAGAAGTGAAAGTTTCATATACTATTTTGAATTAGAAGTTTGAATTTCGGTTTTTGCAAAACAAAAATTTCAATCTAAATACGGAATTTCGTTATAAATTTCGGTTATGAAACGGGAAAAAAACGCATATTTGACTCAAACTCTACGCAAATATATATTTTAGTGCAGCACTTATCTTTTGTTATTTTCCCTTGTTTCCTTCAAATTTCGCTCAACTGTCTCATAATTTACCCAAACAAAGAGCAACAAAAGGCAATTTAAAACGTTTCCATATTTATAAAAAAAAATATTTCTAAATTGTGCTAATAGTGAAAGCTTTATCGATTTTTCTTCATTCTTCTCCTTATTTACGATTTGAGATTTATTTGGACATAATGATAGATATAGAAACTTTCTTGAAATTCCTCACTACTTTTAAAACTGTATTACATCGACGACGAAAGTGAAATTCCGGATACTAGAAATACGAGTTTTTCTATTCGCAATTGGGAGGGAAAGGTCAAAGACTTTGTCTCGACCTAATCTGGAGTAACATTTGCAATCTGATAAGTTTATTTCAGCCTCCTACACGAATCTCAGATCTTCGCTCTAATGGCTAGATCATTAAGTATTTTTCTGTGTTAAAGTATGCGAACAAGGTCTGGCTATAACCTGTTACACGGAGCTACCGGAGTGTTATATAAAATAAATCAACCGCATATTTCCATAATTAATATCGTAGCGAAAATGTCAAAGGACATAGCTTTTCAAGTTTATTTGGCATGGAAATTGCATTCGTGAATCTAGGGAATTTCATTATAAGAGATACACTCTACTTCGTTGTCAATATATCACCAAATTAATACCTTGAAAGCTGGATAATTCATTATAGAATTTTAAAGAAAATAGTACTGGCGCCACCTACTGACATGATTAACGGACGACCCCACCTTAAAGAATTCAATGTCATTCATTCACCGTTAAATCAATTAAAATTGTAAATGGTTCAGCGAAAGTGAAATTATTTAAGTATTGTGATGATGATGACCTCTTCTTAAACCTTGACTTGGCTTAAAATCGACCATATGGTCGGCCAATGGGTTACATAAGTGTAACCTCAATTTCTCCAGAAAAAATTAAATGGAAATTGAAATACCATTTTTGTTCCTTTTTGTTCAATTACAAATTATTACTTAATTCCCCTTAAATATTAATTTGACAAATAGTCACAAATTAAGTTACTAAACATTTGTTCACGCTTTAAAAAGTTTTTTGGGAGTCGGAAGTTTTAGAAAAAGAATTTTGCATTTTGAATAAAATTGCAAAATTCTGGGTTTATGGACTTGGATTTTAATTTTTTAAGTCGAGGTTTCTAGTTTGATTTCTATATACTATATATACTATTTCTATTGTACAAATTTTTTAGTTTTGAAATTTCTATTTCAAATTTTAAATAAATAAATTTTGACTTTTGGAGTCGGAATATATTCTGTAGTGTTCATAGAATTTTTATTTCCCACTTCGATTCGAAGTTTTAAAGAGCAAATTTTGACTTTGATACAGAATTCAAAATTCATAAAGCACAATTCCAAGTTTGAAAGTCCGAATTGTGAATTTGTATACAGACATTCGGAGTTTAAATGCAGATTTCTCCGAATTCAGAAATACGAATTCCAATTTGTAAAGTAAAATTTTGAGTTTTAGGGTATGAATTTTGACTCTAATACAAAGTTCCTGATTTTCAAACTTATAATTGTGAGTTTGTAATAAGAAATTGCTGTTTAATTATTATAAACAGAAATTTGGAGTTGTTACTAAAATCTTAAGTATATGAATTGCAAATGCAAATTCTTTGCATTTTAAAAAATTTGAATTTAGGAATAGAATTCCCAGTTCAAAGGTACGAGTAAAATTCTAAATTTGTAAGTTGGCATTTTATTTAACTTTAATATAAAATTCATATTTACTAGTTTTTAAGTTGGGATTGTGAATTTGTAATAAGAAATACGAAGTTTAAATAGCTCATGAATTAAAATTTTAAATTTGAATGCAGAAATTTCTGAATTTACTGTTCTGAGTTTACTGTTGGAGCTACTGGATATTGAAGTTTAGGAATTCAGAGGTTTGTATCTTATAAAATCTAAATTCAACAATGAGATTTCCTACTTGTAAAATAAAATTCTGAGTTTTGGAGTTTGAATTTTGACTCTAGTACAAAATTCTCGACTTTTAAACTTATAATTGGAAATTTGTAATAAGAAATTGGCATTTGTAAACAGAAAATTCTAGCATAGAAATTCAGAGCTTTACTTTTAAAAATTCTAACTCTAATATAAAATTGAACATTAATAAATTACAACTACAAACTTCAAAGTCGGGCTTGTGAATGTATAATAACAAATTGGGAGTTTAAATACAAAATTTCCAAGTTTATGAATTGAAATTTTAAGTTTGAATGTAGAAATTTTTGAATTTACTACACTGTTGAAGTTGTTGGATATTGAAGTTTGCAGTTTCAATGTTGAAATTCAAAAATTCAGAGCTTTGTATTTTATAAAATCTGAATTCAGCAATGAGATTTCCTACTTGTAAAGTAGAATTATGAGTTTTAGAATTTGAATTTTGACTCTAATACAAAATTTCCAACTTTCAAACTTATTATTGGGAATTTGGAGTTTATTAATTCGAAATTCTAAGTTTGACCATAACAATTTTTGAAATTGTAATGTAGAATTATTTAAGTTTGTAGCCTTGAAATTCAGAGCTTTACTTTTAAAAAAATTTTAATTGAGAAATAAAAAAAAAAGTTTCAAAAATTTTGGAGTCGGAATTTTAACCTTCATATAAAATTCAACACTAATAAATTTCAACTACAAATTTCAAAATCGGGCTTGTAAATTTGTAATAACAAATTCGGAGTTTGAATACAAAATTTCCAAGTTTATGAATTGAAATATTAAGTTTATATAATTTAGAATTCCGAAATTGAAGTTTAAATACTAAATACTTAACTCATAAGTTTTGTAATTTGAAAATATCAATGATGAAATTAAAATTATGAATTTAGAAATATAACTTGGAATAAAAAACTTTTTACGGCACACATTGTATTTGCGATTCGCAGAAAATGAATGTAATCAAAATTAAA